AGAAAAAGAACCATCTTTTAAAAAATCCGCCGAAACTCCACCCGGACCGGGCGACCATCTGCACCTTCTCTCTCTCTCTCAAGCTAAGTTTTAATTATTTTTGATCTTCTTGTTTGCAGAAGTATAAATCTTTTTTAGTGTGCTTAAAATGAATTTATCTTAAACGTTAAAGTTAGTTCTGTAATTAATGATTCTTGTCTTATTTCACTTTGGTCATGATGCGATGTGAAATTATGGAACCTGGGTCGAGTTAAAATTATTAAGTTAAAATATCATTGCATCAATAAATACGAAATCGCATGCTGATTGGAGATTATGAGTTCCTCTTGTCTGATATACTCTCAGCTTGGTTGCCATGGATTCTATATTGTTCTTGTAGTTATTTTCAATGAATAGAATACATGTGCGTTAAGGAGCCCGTTCCCGGTTAAATACGATACAATTCATGTTTATTTTTGACCTACCTCAAACTATTTCCCTAAATTAGTATAACAAGAAAAAGAAATTACAGGTTAAGCGTACTATATTCTCTCTAAAATTGTGTAGTTACTTATACCACCTGATCAACAGTAACATCAGATCAAGGTGGCGAAAGGCTGGATTTTTATGCCTGTCGTCAGCTCTTAGCCCCATGCACGTAACACTATGATTTAGCTCGGTCCCCCCAATTTTGAGGGAGAACACTCTGGTGATGGTAAGGGGCCTCTAGCCTGTTCCCGTTCCACAAACTTCACGAGAGGACTTGCGGCTCGATCGCTATTTAGAGTACCCCCATGCCTCGAAGACACTATACAATGACAAACATCCATGCCTTCTCCAGGATTCGAACCCAAAGGCTATTGCACCTCAGTCAGCGTCACTAACCTCTATACCCGATGAACGGCTCCCTAAAATTTTGAATACTTTAACCTCCTTAACATCTTCAAGCAGTATAATCCAGGTTTGTAGAAATTCCCATTACAAAGGTGTGGCTAAGGAAGCCTAGTGGTCGAAGTAACGGACTCATGGCTGGTGTGTCATGAGATAAGAGTCCAGAACCGCTGAAGATCCGTAATGCAGAAGAGTCGTTAAATATGTTGAGGCTCAAACGTTCTCCCGTTTGTGTGGTGAGGTGTGGAAATTAAGAGAAGAGGGTGCCAGCTCAGGTGTCGTCCTCGCCATTTGACCATGATTCAAAATCACGAGATCCATCCCCATAGAACGACGTGAATATTTACTCACCCATTCTTTAGAGGCCTCCCCCCTGGGGACGCTCCTTCATCATCTATTCGACCTAAATCTGTAGGAGGTAAAGATGGATGACCAAGGCTAACCATGATAAACCTAATTTATTATTACCAAAGATAATATTCCAGGACAAGCAAACTATAAAGGGAACCTTTGGAGTGATATAAAGAGAGCTCAAACCCTATGTGAATAAGCGAACGAAAACCGAATAGCTTAACTTTAATCGATGTTAACTTAATAATCCTAACTTCCGTAATTTATTCTAGTAGTTAAAATCCATCTTATAGTAACGCGGCGTAAATCTGGTTCTTACCGTATCAGCACTATTTTCATCGACTCCGCTCCCTTTTCCTTCTAATACCCGACTTTAAACTAGCTGATCAGCATATTATGGTTTCTTCTTGAGAGAGATGGCTGTGAAATAATGCGATTGTTGGCCCAAAGATTCCCTAAAAGAATTATTAATAAAGCCCCACCACAATTCCCCATTGCGGAATTTTTGCAATTGAATTGAACTTACACGGTGTTACAAATCATTATAATATTTTCACTGACTCATTACATAACGATTTTTAGTAACACTTTAATCTTCGAATTCTTAAAGTAAGTTTGCTTGTAAAAATAAATATTTTGCGTATAAAATAAATACTTAAATTTCGTAAAAGTCAGACATGTTTCGTGTATGAATGGATAAATTAGATTTGTTTGTTTTAGTTGTATTTTTTTAAACGACGAACTACACACATTTCTTCGTCCCCCCCCTTCTTCCTTTTTCATTTAACCACACAATATCAAAAAGCTATTTACAAAGCGCAACAAAATTTAATTCTTTTAATATTACTTGTGAGCTTCTAAGTATTAGAATTCTGTTGTTGCTCATGTGTAGCGTATTCCAGAGAAAACTCTCGTCTGTCAGTACGCGCGCATGCATCAACAAGATCGCTTGCTAATAAAGGTCCAGCGTCCAATGGATAATTAGGATCTGTTGCGAACATTATCATAAACCAAATGTAATACTGAACAGATGCAGATTTTAATCATTTACATTATTTTATGTTAAAATTAAGCATTAATTACACCAAATTCATAACACCATAGTAGTGGGATGCCTTTTCCCACGTCTCTTGCAAAATAAAGAAGGAAGGGGGGGGGATTAAATAATAATTTAGTGACAAGGTATTTTATTCCTAAGCAAAGACCCAAAGAATACCTATCGAATGTCCAGTTTATAAAAATAAATATTTTCAAGTAAGTTTTGGTTCACACTGATTCTGTATCAAATCACTGCACCTGTATAGGTTTCAGCCAGTCTTAAATTCTTTGCATCGTAGAAATCCAATTTCATTATTACAATGTTTTGTCATCAACATATACATCTACTTCAAATACGTATGTAAAATAGATTTCTTTCTAAAATTATAGTGTTTTGAATACAAATATTTTTAATTGTAACTCTGTGGGTGGTTAAAATATTAAAAAGAAAGAATACGAGTTACAGACCATATCATGCGATTCGAGATTTGATGAATACGGTGTGGTTGAAAAGTGTGTGCGTCATTTGTAACGAAATAATCCATACACATACAAATGAATAAGCACTTAACTAACTTATCCGATGAAACAGCACTCACGAAGTCTCTCCCGAGTCAACAGGATAGTCCCATCAAAAGCTTCAAAACAAGTTCGTCAAGGCTTCCAAAAGTTATTTCACAAATTTCTCACTATAATAACAACTGATGGGAGGCCAGAACGAATTCAGCGGACCTCTAAATTCCCAAGTCAGTTTCTTGGAATTCGAGTGAAATTCCTTCGGCAAAAGGGTGTGCCAGAAAGTTCCCGCGCCTGGGGGTCACTAGATTCATAAATTGTGGGGGCGTCAAGAGATTTCCCGCGCTTCCAAAAAGTTCACTAAACCCATAGATTTTTTAATGCTGTAACTCTGCGCTGGTCTCTGGACCAATAGAGAAGCGCAGAAGCGGACAAGATAAAGATTCCACGAGAAGCCGCGCATGAATTTGGGTGTGAATTGGCGGACTTTAAAAACGGCCTGCAACCCCGATTTGAGGGCAGATCGGGCAGATTAGAGAGAACAGCGAGAACTGACCAGATAACCCCGACTAATCAGTCTTCCCCGGAAGACTCCGGGCACCGACAAATGTTTTTTCCCTTGTCTCGCGTCACTCCTCCTCTTCAATTTAACAGATAAGTTGAATTTGATCTTCATGTATCGTAACTTAAGATATGACAATTAATTTAATAAATTTAATATTTCCTTTTAATGAGCGTAATTAATTGGTGCACAGTGTTTTGTTTTTGCTTATTAAGATTCTAATTTTACATTCAGTTAGTTTAATTGTCATGATGCGATGCGAAATTAAGAATCTGGGTTCAAGTTTTAGAAATTAAATAAGTTTAAAATAGCGTCGCATCACAACCTAACGATAAACTCTAACACTCACATTGCTATGGTTTAATTAACACCAGGGGAGTAGCTACCGCCGTATCAATGATATGGGGTCCCTAGTTACAGGGGCCTCAATGAGTGTAACTATAGTCCCACTAACAGTCCAATTTATAAAAAAGGGTCTCGGAGGAATTTTGATACAGGGTCCCCTCAGACGCCAGTAGCATAAAATCAAGCACCACTCATATTAGCATAAAATCAAGTTCTTTCTTTGGAAGGCGATTTTAAAATAGAAGCCGGAAACAACAGTTAAAGAATTATTTTTCCTCACGAAGATTAGTAGAAAGATGCGAATAGGACCTGTCACTACTTGATAACTGTCATCATGTATTTCCAGCCAATCAGCTCATAAATTCATGCAACGTCATCACGACATGATAAATGCAATCACGAGTTTCCAGTCAATCAAATCAGCTCATACCCTACACTGCTGCCAACTTTTGCTTTTTTTCATGTACAAGTATAATATAAGGATTTTCTTTAACAGATTTCAAGAACTTTTCGAAGAATCTTACAACTTGGAACATCTTTATCCAATTATTAAGCTTGAAATTGTATCTAAATTTCACCAGCAGAACAACGGCAGCTTTGAGTTTAATTACGTGATTGCATTGATCGTGTAACTGTTATGAATTAAGCCCATTAAATATTAATAAATGAAATTAAAAAACAATACTTTTTAAAGCTGTCCCTAAGAACTAGCCGTAATTAATTCACTCTCTGGTATTTCGAAGTAAGGAATCCAGGAAAGTTCGATTTAGATGTACAAAAAAAATGTCTTATGCATATTAGAAATCTATTTTACAAGAAAAAAGTAATGGAGCTTTGTATAACTAGCTATTGAGTGTATTTCAATGAAATTTGTTTTTAACATTCTTTACTTCCAGGACTGAAATATAAGTTTTTGTTTTCCTCATAAAAAAGTATGAGAAGATGATATATTTCTCCAAACCCTAGACATTGATTGAAATATTAATAAGTTATGCTCATCAAATTTGACATCTATTAAAATAAAAAAAATATTTAAAAATATTTAATATATAATTTTTATTTTTTATTAAAAAATATTTTTTTAAATATTTTTATTTTAGTTACTTTTTATTAAATAAGTGCAATTAGTATAAATATGTATACATATAGGAGTGAATCACAATATTAAATGGCAAAATAGAAAGCGATTTTCCTTGAAATTTTTCATTTTTTGGTGTTGAACTATTAGTTTTGTTTGTTACTATTTATTCATTAATTAAATTTAATTATTGCAATAAAATAGCATAGTAAAAAGACATCACATTCTCAGAAATTAGGTCATCCTAGATGGAATTAAAACCCACAACCTTTGGATTCGAAGTCCAAAGCGCTATACATTGCGCTACAGGAATTCAACGAGCGATTTTCCTTTTTATATATAGTGTTGGACTATTATTTTTATTTTTTACTATTTATTCACTAATTAAATATAATAAATGAATTAATATTTGAAAAAACTGTATTAACATTAAGCGTCATCTACTTGATGGATGAATAAAAAGTATATATATATATGTGTGTGTGTGTGTGTTAGCTGGTATACCCGTTCTTTGCACGTGTGAATTGAAAATTTAAGCAATACAGACTGAAGGATAAAGAATTTTTAATGAGTTAATTTTGCGTCAATTGTAAATTAAACAAAAAGAAAAAAGTTTTTTGCATATCTCAGCTGAACAAAAAACCTTGTTTGCTAAATTTTAAGCCTGTTGATATAATAGTTGATAAAAAAAAGATTTTTTTTTTTACTTCTAACGCCCCGTAACTCTCTTATGGATCAATTTTTGAAAACACCTTCTGCTCAGCAAAATTAACATATTGCTACAAATTTTGTGTAATAAGCGCATTAAAATAATGTAAATAATTTGTATCTGGATGTGTAATACGTTAATATTACTTTCTGATGCATTTATTTTATGTTAAATAGCTGTTACCCGTGACTTCGTCCACGTGAAATTTAACAAAAAAGTATTTATTCAATTCGCAGAGTTTACGAAAACTTAATTATATATTCCACGTTAAGAAATACCTATGCTATAAGTATAATATCATTCTTCTACTTTGTGAATCAATGTTCCTTTTTTGTTTTACTTTTTTTTCTTTGTTTTTTATTGAGTAAGTGTGAGAGGGTAGCATGACCTTTGATACTGACGATGGGGGGGAGGACTGTAAAATCATTGCAGTGTTTGGCAATGAAATAAACAATAGAGGTAGGAAATTGGCTTACCTCTATTTAAATGCGGAGCCTTGTGAGAAGTCAAATGACGTAATTTCCAAAACTTCCTAATTTAAGTTTAAATGCTGTCTATGTTATGGAAAAATTGATGTTGCTCGGTGTTCTTGAGAGAGAATGAAATCATTGGAATGGTTATAAGCGCAGCTGTTCAAAACAGGTTTAAGTAGCATTTGGGTGAGACGAATCTAAAGCAGGGGGGGGGGTCGCGTGACCTTTGACACTGTCGAATGGGTGAGGACTGGGTAGGGTGGAACGAACACAAACGAAGCCGCAAGCAAAGGGTAAGAAAGATGAATGGCCTTTGACAGTGTCGATGGTGGGAAGACTGTAAAATCATTAGTATCAGACATGAACGGGAAAAATCGCGAGTGTCAGTAACCTAATTAAACAAAAAAGTTTGATATAAATGCTAGAAACGTTGAGACAGAAGGCTCGCGAAATAAAACAATCCCTATTGACTAAAAATAATGGTAAAGGCTAGTCTTTTTGAAATTATTAATGAACTTCCTCAAACAAGACGTTAAAAACGACGAGATGGTTGAGCTCGCTAGCCGTGGGTAGCCTAGTGGTTAGAGCATCGGACTCCAGACCGGAAGGTCTGGGTTCGATGCTCGATGTCACCAAATACCCTCCGAGTGCACACGGAGTACGTGCTCGTTAAATCTGTGGGTCCGTAGTCTTGTGGGCTTATTCACTAGTGCAGAAACTGGAGAATATTTCCCTCCCCTTCAGTTCACTTGCAGAAATTGTGGAGGTGGAGATAGAGGTCGTGTCGCCATCTATCGTCCCTTCGGGGAGTTTCTCCTAGCTTAAATCGCACTGTCACCTGTATGGTGCTCAAGGCCAACGACAGGCGTACCTCTTGCCCATGCCACGATGAATTTCGTGGGCCTCGTTCTGACTACGTCAGACAGGTGGCATTAGCAACAACAACAGGAATAATTTTTCAGCTCCTGTCAATCAAAAAAAAGAGGTCAATAAACCGGATAAGTTCCCCTCTGCAGCTACGTTGGTGAGCACGCATGATAGGAATGGCACAGGTAAGCGAAATTTATTATGTATATTTTGCAATAAAAAACACTCCTCCAAGGACTGTTTAGAAGCTAGAAAAATGACGTTTGATGAAAAGAAAAAATGTGTATTAAGAAACAGAGCCTGCTTTGGATGTTTTTCAGTTTTTCATTTTTCTAAGTACTGTAAGGTAAAAAATTCATGTTTATATTGTGTCAAACCACACCATTATTTAATGTGTGATCAAGCGAAAAGCAACATTAATCAGACATCTAATAGTATTGAAACGAATTCATTATCTAACGGTTGTGTAATAAAAATGTGTTTCTAATGACTTTAATTGTTAAAGTTTGTGCTAATAATACAATCATAAAATGTGGAGCTTTGATCGAACAGTGGATCTCAATACTCATATATTTCAAAACATGTTATTCAGAAATCAGGTATTAAATCTAAAAATAAGATTAAAATGCAGCATCAGCTTTTCGGGGGAGAGAAACATCTTGTCAATTACATGATGTTTATGAATTATTAATAAGTTCGCTGGATGAATCGTACTCGTTTCGTGTAGAGATGTTTTCGGAAAAAAGGATTTGTGGCAGAGTGCCAAAAATTAGTAGACCTGTTGTGATTACTGAATTGAATAGCAGGGGGATTGTTTTGTCTGATCATGAAAATGAGGATATCGAAATAGATATTTTGATCGGCGCGAAATAGCTGGCTTGTTATTTAAGGATGGCTGTATTGAATTGCAATCGGGTTTGTTTTTTTAAAAAACTCGTTTGGGTTATGTTTTGACTGGAAAGCAGGGAGTATTTGAAAAATGAAATGAAGGGCGTGATACTGTTTTAAATGTTATTTCTTTATTGGTTAAGTAATTGCCTGTTAATGAATTGTGGAATCTCGAAAGCAATGGAATTTTTGACCCAATTCAAAAGTTAAATGAAAAAAATGAACATTTAAAGATGATTGAAGAATTTAAAAACAGTATGAAAATTCTACCGGACGGTAGATACGAACTTTGTTTGCCCTTTAAATCGGAAGCAATAGATTTTTCTTCCAACAAAGATCTGACATGGAAGCGACATATAAAGATGTGCGAACGCGCACAGCGAAATGGGATTCTAGATGATTATAAAGTTGTATTTAAAGAATGGGAAGAATTATATATATATGTAGAAATTATAGAAAAAGTTGAAGAGAAAGGTAAAAATTCACATTTTTTGCCGATCGACCAATTGTGAAAGACAATGACATTACAACTAAAATACGACCAGTTTTTGACGCGTCGGCTCTTGCAACTGGTCAGAGTTCGCTAAATGACTTATTGTATAAAGGTCCAAATTTAATTGAGCAGATACCAGATATTTTAGACAGGTTTCGTAGGTATCCGATCGGACTTTCTGCCGATATTGAGAAAGCATTCCTTCAGCTGGGAATTACCCCTAAGCATAGAGATTTTTTAAGATTCTTTTACCCTGACGAGGTGAGGAAATTGTTTACTGTCACTGCCGAGTAGTTTTTGGCGTTTCGTCGAGTCCCTTCTTGTTAGCTGCAGTGCTTGCGCACTTGCTGGAAAATGCGCCAGCAGATGATACTCCACTAGGATCTAAGTTAAAACTTTCGTTTTATGTAGATAATTGCGTTACAGGGGTGAATGATATTGCACAACAAGAAGAATTTATTTTAAGGTCTAAGGAAATTTTGTCACGTGGTTGTTTTAATTTACGTAATTGGGAAAGTAATGTAGAAAGTAAGCACATATCCAAAAGTACAGGTACAACGAAATTATTAGGGATAATTTGGGATCTTGATAAGGACACTCTGAAGTGTAAAATTGATTTTAAAAGTTTATCAGGTGAAACTAAAATAACCCAAAGACTTATTTTAGCGACTGTTCAAAAAATCTTTGATCCAATAGGTATGTTGTGTTCTGTGACTGTAACACCCAAAATATTGTTGCAAAATACATGGAAATTAAAATTAGCTTGGGACTCATCTTTGCCAGAGGAGATAGTGAAACCTTTTTTTAAATGGTGGAATGAAATCAAGATACTTTCAGATGTGAAAATTCCTCGTTATTTTGAAAATAATGATAGCACACAAATGCATGTTTTTGTTGATGCATGTAAAGAGGCCTATGCCACTTGCATATTTTTTAGATCAAACACTTCCCAGGGTGTGAAAGTTGCCCTTGTTAGGGCAAAGGCGAGAGTAGCTCCATTAAAGCAGGTAACAATTTCCAGATTAGAGCTTATGGTGTGTTGCATTGGTGAACGATTGGCACATTCTGTACAGGAATCTCTTAATATCACTGAAATGGAAACTGTTTTTTGGAGTGATTCAATGGTGGCATTGTATTGGTTGAGGGAAAAGGGAGGTTGGTCTGTTTTCATTTCGAATAGAATTAAAGAAATTAAAAATCTCTTTCCTAATAGTGAGGGTGTCATGTACCTGGGAAAATTAATCCAACCGATCTAATTTCTCGAGGATGCTCACCTAGTCATTTAGTTGAGTCACATTGGTGGGAAGGTCCATTGTGGTTGGTAGAGTCACCAGATACTTGGCCCAAAACAAAGTTACCTGATTATGATACTTCCGAAATTTCATTGGAAAGAAAAAAGGTTAAACTGTGCAATTTAAATCTGTCGGAGGAAATGTTGCCATGGTATGCTAGGAAATTTTCAAAATTTCATTCAATCTTAAGTTTAGTTGCATGGCTTAGATTTATTAATAATGTTAGAAGCAGAATTAGTGACAGAAAGAAAGGAAAATTGTCTTTAGATGAGTTAAAGAGTGCTGAGATCCAGCTGATCCGATCTGTTCCAGCTCAGAGCTTCACAGATGAAAAGTTAATTTCAAACTTGAGTGTATTCAGAGATGAAAACAACATCATTCGTGTGAAAACGCGAATCACTGAACGCATAGATGAACCTAACTTTCTTTCGTCAATCTTACTGCCTAACACTTGTATATTCACGCAAAAAGACTTGTACAGCATTTTCATTTAAAGAATCATCATGCAAGGACGCAGTTGCTTTTAAGCACAATACGTGAAAAATATTGGATAATAGGTGGTAGAAGAACTGTTCGAAAGATATGGTTTGC